GGGGTGAATTTCTGAAATATGTTTTTGTTAAAGGGAAGGGAGTAAAACCAGATCAATGCTCAGTTTATACGTGATGGAAAAGAGGGCTGTCCCCTTAGTTACTGTTTTTAAAATATTAGTAGTGGGAACAAAATTGGAGAGGACTGAGTCAGAGGTGAACTTGAGCATTTCATTAAGGAATATTCTACTTCTGCTCTCCTCCCCTCCCCTCCCCTATTATTTGAACACTGGGAGATATAAGACGGTGAAAAGTACCAGAAGCTGTAACGTCATATGTGACTGCAACTTTATTTTCCTTTTTAGGAGAACACCAGCAGCCTCGTTTTCCGGGTCTAACTAGGGGATTAGTAGCTGTTCTCTTATACTGGGATGGAAAGCGATGCATTGCAAATTCATTGAGAACACTTATCCAGTCTCGACGAGGCAAGACATGGACACTGGAGCTCAGGTCTGTCTTCAGCAAAGGGATCTGAAAAATCTTAGACATTAGCAGCATATTTATTTTGAACCTGGATTGTTTAAAGCCTGATTTTTGCAGCTGAAGGGAAAGTTGCATGTGTTTAAAACTGTTATATAGTATATTATGTATTGTTTTGACCTTTTGTTTGTCTTCATCTTCCTCATAGTAGTCTTCATTTTGACATCTCCAGTTTGGCTGTATAGTGTCTCATGTACACATGGATGAGGCTGATGAGTTTAAAAACTGAGGTGGTACAGCAGTTTATATCATTTTTAAGCCACAACTGGAGGATACCCATTTTGAATACTTTCCGATATAAATCAAGAAAAGGAGCCAGTTCAGCTCATGCTTTATAGTTATTTTTTATTTATATAGTACTTGAATGGTGCTGTAGAGTATATGATTCTGCCTTTGCATTTGTGATACAATTCATTCTGTTGCCACATTACTTCTACCTCAAGGTTTAATGATTCCAACTTTTACCACTTAATAAATATATGTGTTCTCTTGGAAGCTTAATATTTATTTATTTATTTATTTGATTTCTATAGCTGCCCATCTCAGCAAGTGGATATACCTTAATTTCTAATGTTCTACAATATTGAGGATGGTTCGGCAGCATGTCAAAATAAAATTAGTTATGACACTACTGTCTCTTTCCATTGCAGTCCTGAGTTGGTATCCATAACAGCTCACTTTACAGATGAGTTGATGGAGCAGGGTTTAACTCATAAAATTCTGACTTTGGTATCTCAAATTGATGTGAACACTGAATTTGAAAAACTGCAGAAAGAACGAGGCCTGGGCAGTGAGAAACATCGCAAAGAGGTAAATAATTTTAAAGTACTTATAGCACTTTAAATATTGGAATACTGTTAGAAAAGCAACATCAAAGATAATTTATAGTATTTTGGTACTTTGGTTTCAAAGGCAAAAAAGTGCTGGTCAAAGACTATTAAAAGTATGTGTGTGTTTATACAATTTTTTGGCGCACATATAACGCCTTTGCAACTCTTCAGTCGCAATGTGATATTGGGAAAATGCAAGTTGGTTTAAGGAACTGCAGACAAGTGCTACATTGTGCCATCACATGTTCTAAAAACAATTGTTCACCTTTGAATCTGCACAACCCTAGTAATTTCTTTGTTTGATATCTCTTTGACTCTTCTTCCTAAGAAGAAAAATGCTATGATCCCTTCAGATAGTACAGTTTCTATATTATTGTATCTTTTGTGAAAAAAAACACTCTATATGATAATTGTAGATGTGACTTTTATTGTGTGACATGGAAGATTACAGCCAATTGCCACTTGCTCTTATGGTACAAATGTATGTGTATATACAGTGGGGCAAAAAAGTATTTAGTCAGCCACCAATTGTGCAAGTTCTCCCACTTAAA